GCCACTTCACAGCTTCTAGTCTTTTAGATGCAGGGTAATTCTGTGCAGTCTCTAAATCTAAACGGGCCTGTGGGTATCATCTGTCAGAAGTTCTCAGTCCAGAATGTCTTCCTGCAGCTTGGTTTGACATTCCTCCAATGCTGGGGATCTGAGCATCAGTTTCCAAGTCTCCCTGGGGACTGCTTAGTTTGCAGAAGAATCTGAGGGGGCTAAAATTCCTATAAAACAGATGGATTGCTGGCTTGACACAGAAACAAGACTGAAGAGTAGGGGTGTATCCTGGGCAGTCACATTCAAGTCTCCCACCAACACATGTGCCCTGCACCCTTGCACAAGTACACACACACACACACACACACACACACACACACACACACTTGCAGCCTTTAAAATCATTTTATAAAGAATGCACAAGTAAGGGTTTATGTTTACGTAGGTAAACCCTTTCCCTGAGAGGAAAAAAAAAAAAAAAAGCTGAGAGAAGTCCTGAGCAAGATTATGGAGGAGAAACAGGTCCCTGCCCTGTTCCTAGTCACTCTCTCATGCTGGAGTCAGTGGCACACAGGCACAGATCGGGGGTAGGGTGGGGTGGTATTGCCCTCCTTCCTCATAAAGAGAGTAGTAGGGTAGCGACACCTTCCCTGGTGCTGGTCCTTGGATTTCTGGCTGATCAGCATCGAGTCCTCTGTTTCTCTTAGGGGTAGTTCTCAGTATAGAAAACAGCTGGAGCTGGGATGGTATGTTCTGGCACCCTGCATGTATTGGAACTCTTTGCTAAGACCCTAAGGTTTCTCTGAGCTGTGACTTCAAGGAAGAGATGGTGTCACTGGGGAAGTGTCTACAGAAGTGTGTCACTGCAGGCAGAGTTGCTCTGTGCTCCATCTCTGTTCGTGGATGTGTGTCTCTGATTAGACTGTGCTAACAAAGTCGGCTTTTAAAGTGCACACAAGAGGTTCACATTCTAATTCTTCCAGTGATGTTCTCAGCTCCCACCATTCCCTTTCTCCACACCCAAACCCTATCAAACCATTATCCTGGCTCTCATTTCCTTCCCATCCTTATTCAATACATATCCAGGTATTTTAGGTCCCAGAGAAAGGGCAGGGTGGCCAACAACTTCTTTACTGAGCTAAGAAGGAGGAAGGCAGAAAATCTCAAGGTTCTGGATTCTTGCTATATACAGGTCCTTCTGGCTGCTTGCTACCACCAGTCTCTGAGCTAGATCCATCTCCCCCAGCCGGAGCCCATGGGGGAAATACAATGAGGTATTCAAAGAACTGTTGTTAGCTTTTGAGCCTAGAATTGAGTTCTCTTCATCCCCGTACCTGGATTTCTCCCCCTGTTGGTTTGTTTTGTTTAGTTTGACTTTATCCCCCTGTTGTTTTGTTTGTTTTTAGTTTGACTTGGTCGCCTACAGTCCTTTATATCCCATCTACCCCACACCTTCCAGAAGCCAGGGTGGAATTTATGGGAAATCAAACATAACAAGCCTTTTCTTCATCGCCTGATACTGTTGTTCTGCCAGGCAAGCCTTGGGGCAGAAAAACCAGTCTTAGCATTTGCTTACTCCTAGGGAGACCACCCTCCATAGAGCACAGGAAAGGGAAGGCTGAGGGAATGGAGTCCAGGGAGACAGCTGGCAATCAGGCTGAAGGAACTAGAAAGTTGTCTTTTCCTCTAGGTCACTTGGTTAGCCCCTCAGGGGACTCGGCGTCAGTGCTGAACAGTTCCTTATATAGTGGAGGGAAGGCAGCTTGAACCACGATGGGATGGAGGTGCTGGAAGATCTGCAGCTTTTCCACATGTTGGCTGCACAGGCTCCGGAGTTTACCTTTGGGTGGCAGCTGGGGATGGTTAGGAGGGAATGAGGGTCAGTATTTCAGTGCTTACCAGAGCAAAACTGTCTTCCTGCTGTTGTTGAGCTAGGGTAACCCTCCTTGCTGCCTTCCCCCATTCCAGCCTCCCCACCCCTCCAGCAGTCAGTCCCATTGGTAAGACGTATGTGTGTCTGCAGACCTAAGGGTAAGTGAGGGCGGCTGTGAGACAGGTGAACCTTTTCTGGGTTCAGTTTTGAAAGTCACTTCCGTACCCTCAGCACTGTGACTGGCTTAGCGAGGGCATGCTTGGATGACAGCATACATGGCTCTGCCTACCCCTGAACTGACTTTACTGCCTTGGTTCATATTGTTTCCTCATCTGGAGTACTTTTCTAATTATCTTTTTTGTTTGTTTGTTTTTGTTTTTCGAGACAGGGTTTCTCTGTGGCTTTGGAGGCTGTCCTGGAACTAGCTCTTGTAGACCAGGCTGGTCTCGAACTCACAGAGATCTGCCTGCCTCTGCCTCTCCAGTGCTGGGATTAAAGACATGCGCCACCAACGCCCCACTTTTCTAACTGTCTTTTGCTTTGCCAGTCCTTACCTTCAGGTGTTATCTCTTCTGAGGACACTCTCCCCGCCATCCCTTACTGGGTTAAAGCCCTTCCTACAGGCTTCCTTCTATATAGTAGTACTTGCCACACTGTAGAAAAAGGATCCAGTCTGCCCTCCTGCCCCGCATTCACTTAGATAAGGTCCATCTGTCTTTTTCTCACTAGGTATCTTCTGTGTTCCTATTATAATGGTGACATATAAGCTCAAGAACTGCTTGTTTGAACTAAACAGAGTTTCTAAGCTGGTACCCAACACAGCAAATATAAATCAGTCTAGAGTCAGCCTTCAGCCAAAGGGAGGTACAGAAGCCCATGGGACAGAGGCAGGGAGAAAGATTCAGACACCATCATTCCTGTGCAATTTCCAGCACAACCAAGTGAGACTTAAAAACACCTCTTTCTTGCCATCTTCCCTTCTTATCTTAACTCCTTTGAAAAGTACCAGTCAGAGAAAAGCAGACAAGATATGGGGTGACTCCCCCATATCTCTTGAAATTATTATCTTTTTTGTGTTTTAGTACTTTGGGTTTGCCTGGGTTACTACAATAATTTCTTTTATTCATTTAAAAGACATCTGTTGAGAAACTCAATAAATCTAGATGAGGCACTGTCATGAGCTCTGATTTAACATCAGTGAATTAAAAACTGTACTTTTATTAAATGTACACAGTAGCCTGGGAGTCCTAAGTACAGCTATATGCTGCCTAAAAACTTTTTGGGAAATTATGAACCTCTAACTACAGTGGTTCTAAACTACAGTGTTTGTTTGTGAGTATATCTCGTGGTACCCCACGAGGTAAAGCTGTCTGTGTTCTTAGCACATACACCTGTTAGTACGCAGCGTACAGTTCTACGCAGTACTAAATCAGGGTGAAGGACGGAGTCCTTCTGTTGGGTAATTGTTTAGGGAAAACCTCTCCTGAATGAAGGCATGAAGAAAAACATTTAGAAACCGGGGGGGGGGGGGGGGGGGGGGGGGGGGGAGGGGCGAGGTGAGGGAATCCTATAGGAGACAACAGCAGGGACAAAGGCTCTGAGAGAGTTGGGACCAGACATGGCTTGTTGAAGGACTAGCAAAGAAACAGTGTGGTTAGAGTATGGAGCCAAAAGAGTGGTGCAAAGTCAGGTAGGAAGAAGGCAGGGTGACCATACACAGAACCAGAGTTGAATCCTTGGCAACTACAGGAGGGTGGGGAACAAAAGAAACAGGTAACGGTCTTGACTCCTTAAAGGGGCTAGCGTGGATACTGAGTGGCTCTGGTCTGGCAGACAAAGACGGAGTGGGAAGTTGAGTTAGGAGTTTAATAGTCTAGTGTCGCCAGTAGCTGGGGGTTTATCATGGAAGGTGTGATGTATTTTCAAAGTGGATCCTTCTGGGCATGGTGGTACATGCCTGAGATCTTAGCACTTGGGAGCTGGATGCAGGAGGATCATGAGTTCAAGGCCAGCCTTGGCTACATGAGACCAAGTCTCAAAAAAATAATATAAAACACACCAAAGTGGATCCAACCACATTTGCATTCCAGTTGCTTCCCCAGGCCCAGTCTCTCCCTCTTTAAACCTGTTTTGTTGTAGATTGAAGCTTACATTCTGTAGGGAGACACTGTTTGAGGTAACTTCTGTATCTCAGTACCAGCACGATGATTGTGTGTCACAAGAGCCCTAAGAGGATGACTACAAAGGTGGGCCCTTTAGGAAGTAAATTCTCTAATGACAGCTCTGAATTCGGCATTGCTCTAGTCTTTGGGGGCTCCCCATTGCCTAGAAGCAAAGCCTTCACACTTCCTATGGCACAGAAAGTCTTCGCTGCTTTGGTTCCTCTAACAGTTTTCACGCCCACCTTCTGTTAATCTCCTGCTTCACCAGGCTACCCAGCTTCTGGCCTCACATTTAGCAGAAAGCGCCATGAGGGTTGGGGACACAGCTCAGTCAATGAAGTGCAGGCCTTCAAGCATGAGGACTTGAATTCAGTTTCCAGAACCCATATGAAGGAAACCAGGCAAAGGCTGGGTGTGGTGGTGCACTTTCTTAATCCCAGCACTGGGGAGGCAGAGACTGGCTGATCTCTGAGTTTGAGGTCTACAAAGCAAGTTCCAGGGCATCCATGGCTACACAGAGAAACCTTGACTTGAGACAAAAACAAAAAACAAACAAAAAGAAAAGAAAAAGAAAGAAGAAGAAAAAAAGAAAGCTGGGCAAGGTAGCAGATGCAAATAATCTCAACATTTGAGAGGTAGAGACAGGCACACTTCTGGGGCCATCGGCAGTCCTCGGTCAGTCACTGACCAGGCCAGTGAGATACCCTGCCTCAAAATGAATAGATAAATAAGTGAATGAATGAATGAAAAGTATAAAAAGGTGGCACCACCAAGGAATGATACCCTAGGTTGCCTGGTCTCTAAAGGCATACACACACATCCTCTTCTGCATGTGCACCGGGTGCACACAATCACATAGACACACATGCACATATATAGGAATATGTGACATGTGCCATGAACTACCCTCCCTCTACACTATTTGGCCTCCTCAGAGTTCCATTCATCTCCTTCCCTAAGCCTGGATCACCTCTCTGCCCTCATGAATGTTTGTTGAAACCAGGCATCTTTTATGGCCTCATCCATCCTCTTGCTTTTTTCGGAAACATTTATGATGGGGCATGTCCTTCTGTATGCTGTGAATATGTTTCTCTTATTGGTTGATGAATAAATGTTGATTGGCCATTAGCCAGGCAGGAAGTATAGGCAAGGCTAGCAGACCGGAAGTCTGGGAAGAGGAATGCAGAGAGTGAGTGACCAGAGAGATGCCATGTAGCTGCTGAGAAAGGAAGAGGTCCAGGCATTACCAAGTAAGCCCAAAAGCATGTGGAAATACACAGATTAATAGACATGGGTTAATAATTAAGAGAAAGATAGCCAATAAAAACCTAAGCCATCAGCCCAACAGTGTATAATTAATATAAGCCTCTGTGTGTTTATTTGGGTCTAAATGGCTGTGGGACCAGGTGGGACAGAAATCCCCCTCCTCACATTTATGTTCTACTCTCTTTACCTTCAAATTGTGGAGAATTTTTACATTTTGTGTGTGTGTGTGTGTGTGTGTGTGTGTGTGTGTGTGTGTGTGTGTGTAAGTCACAGGTCAACTTGCAGGAGTTAAGAGTTTTGCTTTCATTATGTGGGTTCTTGGGATCAAACTCTGGCCATGGTGCTAGGTTTTGTGGCAAATGTCTTTACTCACAGAGCCATCTCACTAGTCCCTTAAATTATTTTGAATCCCTGTCCACATCATCATAATTTTTCCAAAAGTGCCCCCCATTTCTAGAGGGGGGTCTCATGTAGCCCAGGCTGGCCTCAAACTCATTATGGAGCTGAGATGACCTTGAATTCCTGTTTCTCTTGGTTCCTTTTTCCCCCTGAGTGCTGGTATCACAGGCACGTACCACCAATGCTGTGATTTTAAGAGCTTTTATAATATTAAACTAGGGGTCTCAAGGATATTGTTGAAAGAGCACTGTGATTAAGATTCATGTTATCAGTTAATACATGTCATGGAAGTCACTTTATTGTTACAGGAAGATTTTAACACCTGTCCGATCATAACTGGATTGCCTTAAGGATAAGGGACATATCATCAAAAGCATTTTGTTAATCTCACTATTAAAATATCACACATCCTACTCCATATTAGAGCTATATTAGAAGGCATGCAAGTCTCTTTGTACCAGTATCTTAGTGGGGACAAGAACTGCATCTCTGTATCTTTCCACAGTGCTTTGCATAAGCAGGTGCTGGGTAAGTGCTGGCTAAATTAAACTGAATTGTTCCCTGGAGGTCTCTTACAACTCCAGGCTAACTTTCCATCTCTTGGTACATGGAAAGAGTTGTTCCTGCCTCCCTACTGCTGTTGCAAACACTCTGACATAACACAGCACTTCAGCATTCCCTCCTTGGCTCCTGAAGACCCCAGCCCTGATGGCACAGAACTGGCAGTAGGTCTGGTCTCTTCTGTCTTATGGACTGCTCCTACCTTGGCTAGGAGGCCTTGGCGATGAGTCTTGCAGAGATGATGATGGAAGGCCAGCTCCAAATTGTATTGCAGATGCTCCACTCTCCTTTTCTCTTGGAGCCCAGGCCTGTCTGAAGGAAGGGATGGGACCAGAGTGAAATAGAAACAACACAGATAGTCTTGCCCAGCAAAATGGTGTCATGTATCTTCTTGAAGAGGCCCTATCAGCTGTGTGTGTGTGTGTGTGTGTGTGTGTGTGTGTGTGTGTGTGTGTGGGTTTGATAGCAGCAGAGATGTCTAGCTAACTACTAGGGAAACTGTAGTGATGAAAGGGTGGGGACTGTTAGCCTTCCAACTCCAAACTACCTCAGCCCAGGTAACCTGGTCTCTCATGTAGCTCATTCAATGTCAGGCAGTAGATTTCTGACATGGAGGTAAAATGTTGGAAAAGAGTTTTCCCGCTCCTACAAGAGTGACTCATGTGAGCTCCTGAAGCCATCCAGGTGGGCATCAAAGCCTCTAAAGTAGGACTCTGTGGCTCTGTCAACTCCTAAGCTATCTCTGGCTTTGCTTCTCTCAAATACCAAGAAGTCATCTATAAAGTCAGCTTGCTTCCAGCTTGAGGCCATGCTAGTAGAGTTGGAAGACTTGTGCTGCTAATTAACAAACCCTGAGCAGCAGGCTCACTGCCCTAGGTTCTCTGGATAGTGTTCAGCTGACTTGACTCTAGTCCAGTGGAGTGCATACCTAGAGCCCTACTGCCACTGCAGGCATTCTGTCTCAAAATGAGCCCACACCAAGCAGTCATTCTCAATCTTAGTGGCTCAATCTGAAGGTGGCCATTAAAATTTTGGGGGCAGCTCAGATGAGTTACATCAGAATCTGGAAGTGGGAACCAGGCACACAATCAGTTCTTAAAACTCCCCAGGTGACTGCCAGGCTACAAAGGTGTCACTGCCACACACTGACCAACAGGTGGATGTCTACTGGGGAAGTGGCTCATTTTCCTCCCAACCTCCCTTCTCCGTGCTCCTCCTGCCCATTATATGCTGCTCTTGTTCTGTCTAAAGGTTCCTCTGGATGCTTTAATCTATTTTATTTTCCAGAAGCATTGGGCAGAACTCATTTTGCTGTTTCAAGCAATCTCCCAGATTTAGCTACATCCGAAGACCTAGGTTCTCCATTAGCTGCTTTGCCCTAGTCACCAGAGTGCCCTTTCCCAGGCCCAGCCACACTCACTGGCATTGATGAGAACCAGGGCCGTGTAGAGGGCAATCTCATCCTCAGAAAAACGCAAGGCACTGAGAAAGTGGGAAAAGTCGAATATGGAGCTGATGAGCTCGCTGCAGCCTGCCAGAGTGGAGATGAAGACAGTAAGCATGGTAGCTGGTTCCCAAGGGCACTACCCTTTGGGTGTTTAGAGTAGGGGGACCATTAGCCTTGTAGAGGCTTTCGAGAGATTGGCGTCGGGAATTTTTCATTTTCCCCTGCCCCTCACCCAAGGCTCGGAACAGCTCCACGCCACCATATTTGCCTTCAAAAAAGACTGTATGGTTGTCAGGGTTGTAGGCTCGGCACATCCTGACAAGCACAACTTCCATTGCTCCTGGATAAGGGGGAGAAAGATAGGTGGGCAGTGTCAAGCAAAGCCAGGCAACGACTCTCCCAGTATCCTGGCTTCTTTAGGCTACCTCCCTCCACTTGGCCCTGGCTCCGCCTCCCAGACTTGATCTGCTTTCATCCCTAGCCCAGGCTCTCCTCCCATCCCCCAGCCAGCCCATCCCGGGGCACCTGCTTTCAGGAGTATGATCTGGTCATTCTGGCAGAGCTCCATGAAGCCCGAGAGCCGCTTGGCAAACTCCACCACATACTGAATGGCCTCAGTGAGGTGGTGGGCACAGCGTTCCCACATTTCCCACATCGACTGCAGGGACAGAGGAGGAAACCCGTGATCCTCCCAGGTCCCTGCATCCCCGTAAGCTGCGGGGAGTTGGTTCTCCATTTCCATGTTTCAACACTCAAGCCTATTAGCACAAAGGTACCCAGGGCCAATTCCTGTCAGTGGGTTCCAATTACTGATATCCCCCCTCCCTCAGCCCGGTACAAGGAAACATGAAGAGGTATATAAGGGATGAGAGCTTCTAATATCCAAGCTACCTTCTTCCTGATAACCTGTTCTTTCATGATGCCTTTTCAATACTAGGTATGAGGATTCTGCTATGGGCAAGGAAAGGTTTCCAGAGAACCCCCCAGACTCCTAGAGGGTGACTCCAGATAGGGGGTGATGGCTTTCCTGAAACATGGTGTAGAAAGCAAAACTTCCTGCTGCAGTGGAGAAAGGGAAACCAGGCAAGATAGTTTCACTTGCAAACAAGGTACACATTGTTAAGTAAGGTACCCCCTAAAGAAGGTCTCAGCAGCTGAGAGATGCAGATGGGAAGTGCCAGCTGATTTCAAAGCAGCTGGTATAGTCCTGGAGTGACTGAAGGAACAGCAGATACTGTAGAGACCTCAGATTTGAACTGGACTGGTTCGATCACCTTGTGATTCTTAGCACCTGACCTTAGTGGAATGCTATTCTCAGAGGCCAGTTGTTGGAGGGGCTGAGGATGATCTCACAGGTATGTCTAACCTTTGACATGGTGATATGACATGGTTATCTACAAAATTCACACCTGGGAATCAAGTTTTTAAAATCTCATGTTTTTTTTTTTTTTTTTTTTTTTTTTTTTTTTTTTTTTCCTAGTTGGGTTCCAGTTAACTCAGGTTTATCATGCTTACCATCTGGTGTACACCGTTAGTCCAAACACTCATGAGAAGCAGACTGGAGTTCAAGACCAGCCTGGTCTACAAAGTGAGTTCCAGGACATCCAGGGATACTCAGAAAAACCATGACTCGGAAAAAAACAAAAAACAAAAACAAAAAAACAAAACCGAAAGCCAACCAACTAAACAAAATAACCTCATGATTGTGCATTGGGCCACACTTATCACTATCTCTAGACACATGTAGCACACAGGCTGCATGTTGGGCATACTCCATCAAAGCTTCTATTACAATGACTGATAAGAAAGAGTATTCAATAAATGGCCCTCAGATATCCGTTAGTGTCAGGTACTGATGGAGCATGAAGGCAGCTGTGGTAAGGTCCAGATGGAAGAGGAGGCAGGTTGCTAGCTGGGTACATTTTCAGTAAGCAGGAGCTAGGGAAACACTCTCATCTAGCTGCTAGGGAATAGACAGACACACTTGGCCAGCCTGTCTGTGATACTCTTCGGCCCCCATACCGGTGCGAGTAGCCATCTCTGGGCTCTTCTGATGGTGGGGGGTGATGCCCTTCCTTCCCTCATGTCTCCTGCCCTCACCTTCCTCTGGTAGCTGGTCACCTCCTCCCTGGAGAAGAGGTTGGTGCGCTGCCGTAGCAGGTCCTCCACTTGCAGCTGGCATGTCTCTCGGTAGGACTTGCAGACATTCTGTACCAGGTACTCTGGGGCCAGAAGAGGAAGGCATGGCTAGATGTCACCCTGACTCTCATAAAGAGGCTCTCCCGGGTCTACCTTGCTCTGCTTCCTCCCTTGACTCTTTGTCCCTAATCCCTTAGGACTAACATTTAGTTACAAGGGGCACTGGGGGACGTTCTTCGCATTTTCACCACCCATCCCCCTTCCCAGATGCTCACCTATGTCTGTCAGAGAGGCATACGGTGCTTCTGGGGCACTGCAGAAACTGGGACTGCAGTGGCTGTCTGGACACTGCTCTGGTTCCTCAAGCTCAGGATGCCTGGATCCTTCAAAATGAAGTTCACGTCTTCCAGAAGAAAGCTGTCTGCCTGGGCTATAGATGCTGTCTCTGCCTTCAGCTTTGCCTCGATCTGGGCTATATTCAAGATGGCAGGAGGCTCCTTGGACCTCTGCTTTGGTCAAGTTGTTGGAATATGGTGGCCCAGAGCCTGAAGCTCTCAGGAGGCCAGGGGGACAAGCAGAGGCCTCAGGAAGGTCAGGGGAGGCACCCAGAGGTAGCTGCCCATCTGGGAGCCCCAAAGTATATGTAAGGGTATCTGCTCCATGGTTTCCTGCTGGAGGAGACTTGGCCACTTGTTCCTGTTGCTGCTGCTGCTGCTGCTGCTGCTGCTGCAATTGTTTCTGCACTTCTGCATGCAGACTGTCCCTCTGCTTCTTGGACATTCGGCCAAACTTAACAGCTGAAGAAGGGTCAGGAATCAGTACGGGTGGCAGGAGAACATAGCACAGGGCAGGGTCAACAGGCACACAAATCTGATCCGCAGTCGGATTTCTCCAGCTCTGTCTGTCAACTTTCTTTGCAGGAGTTTAGGCTCCTCCCGCTCCTGGTTCTGTCCCACCAGCACTTCCATCTCCCTAGCAAAATCTTTTTAATTCTAAACTAGATGCCAATAGTGACAGAAACCAAGCAAGGAGCTTGGGCTGGAGATTCTGGTCTCAGACTGGGGGTGGTCGAATAGGGGGCTTCAGGCTGTATTGGGGTCAGCGTGCCTGTCTGGGAGGGCTGGAGGAAGAGAAGGGCTGCGAACATAGGTCTCCCTGTGGTCAGGCCTGTAGGCTCCCTGGTGACCTAGATACTCACCACAGCCCAACCCAGGCTCCGCGGCTTCTTCTGAACATCCTCTTCTGCTCTCTCTTTCCTGCCTTTTCTCTCCCCCAACCCCTCCCAGGTGTGGGGGTACAGCCCTTGGCCCCGCCTGCCCCTTTGCACCCCTGCATGTTTCCTTTCGCTTTGTTATTTTGAGCACTGAAAAGTGCTGACAGGTTCCTTCTGGCTCCTCCTCACCTTGCCCTCCCCCCCCCCAGGGCTGCTCCTGTGGTGAGGATGGTGGGTGAGGAGGGTGGATAAGACCCTAGGAACACCACACTCCATCCCCCACCTTCTGGGTCATTCTCAGGCTAACTCTGATGGTGTTCCCAGCCACAATCCTGTGTCTGGGGATGGTCACACAGGGTTCGGGAGGGAGATGGAGCTAAACAGGGTAGGATAGGGCAGGAAACAACAATATGGAAACAGGATGGGAAGTAGGCCAGGAGAAGGCAGAGTGAAGAGAATTCATGAGAGGAAGAAGAGACAAGAGTAATAGGGAGCTGGCAAAGGTTTTCTGGAGCAGAGCCTGTCGTTGAGACTCTGAAGAGCCTTGAGGACCTCCAAAAAGATGGGACAAAGGGCTATATGGGTGGAAGAATGGCAAGAGGGTCCTGGCAGGGTGTTTTTTGCAGGCCAACTCTGTCTGGCAAGAGCCAGGATTCCTCTAGAGAGTGCAGGGACTCTTGGGGCCTGCCCCCACATCCTCACCATCTCGGGACATGCCCAGAGCCAGGCACTTCTGCAGGCGGCAATGCTGGCATCGGTTACGGCTGGTACGGTCGATGGGGCAGTTCTGCTGACGAGTGCAGGAGTAGGCCACATTACACTGCTGGCTGCGGCGGAAGAAGCCCTGGGGAACAGAGACTGCTTATTCCACCCAGGGCAAGCTCAAGGTGGTCCTGAGGACCTCTAACCCACATGCATTGCTCTCAGGACTGCCCACATCTGGAAACCCACCAAAGCCCCCCAACCCCACTGTATAATTGTGATTGACCCTGCGGTCACTTTCCCACACCAAGAGAAGGTTCTCTTCTTTATGTTCATGTGCAACTCACCTTGCACCCCTCACAGGTGATAACCCCGTAGTGGATCCCAGACGACTTATCCCCACAAATCTTGCAAGGGATTACTTCAATTTGTGCTGGAAGAGAGAGAGAAATTAGCCCAGGATGCTTCTCTGGACTTCACTACCATGAACCTGGGGTGCAGGTGCAGGTATCTGGTGCTTCCTCCATTTCTCCTGGGAGCTCCAGCATGCCCTCTTGTATTAGAGAAGGGGAAGTGAAGTGAGAAATGCTTCTCAGCAAAGGGTCTGAGGAGCCTGTGCCTTTGTTCACAAAGCAGCTGGGAGTTGCAGCAGCTTTAATGGAGGCAGAAAGCAGCTGCAAAGAGGCCACCTGCTTATCCTTCAAGTTGAACATCTCCAGTGTTCCCCGCCCCCATCCTGTAGAAAGAGTCAGAGGAGTCCTTACTGCTTCATAACACCTGCTTCCCGCCCAAGGGGCTTCCTTTGTGCCTCCTCCCCCTACTGAGGCTTGGCTCCTATGAACAGAGTTATGTGGCATGGCAGGAGCATGAGGTACACCAAGCCACTGGGCACCAGACAGAGCTGTCAGTCACTCTTGGAAGAAAAGGAAGGCCACATTGAGGGGGACCAAAACAGTGGGGTACAGAGAGACTAGGAAGAAAGAGGGATGGAGCCTGTCTGAGGAAGGGCTCAACCCTTTGCTGACTGCCCAAGAGTCCAAATAGGGTTTCCAGGCTGTTAGCCCCAGAACCAACACAAAGTAGTGTTCTGTGTATTAGCACGTTAGAGGATGTACAAAGGTGTCTGTGTCCATCCCTATGAGCACTGACTATAACTGCTAAAATTGGCTGAGATTAAAACCATCTCATCCACCTGTTCTCCTCACAGATGAAGAACTAGTTAGCTCAGGCTCACACAGCTAGTTTACTTGAGTGCCAGCTTTCCAATCCCACCCTCCTGAACTATTCATTTTGTATTATGTGCATGACTTCTTGACATGTTTGAAGACATACTTGTGTGTGCCTGTGTGAAAAGTATATGTGACTTGTTGGGCATGGTGGCACTCCCTTTGATCCCAGCACTAGGGAGGCAGAGACAGGTAGACCACTGTGAGTTCAAGGCCAGCCTGATCTACATATCAAGATCCAGGATATCCAGGGCTACATAGTGAGATTTTTTGTTTTGTTTTTGTTTTTCCAGACAGGGTTTCTCTGTATGGCTTTGGTGCCTGTCCTGGAACTTGCTCTGTAGATCAGGCTGGGTTTGAACTCACACACATCCACCTGCCTTTGCCTCCTGAGTGCTGGGATTAAAGGCGTGCACCACCAGCACCCTGCTAATAGTGAGATCTTGTCTTAAGAAAAAAAGAAAGAGAAAAAAGAAGGTATATGTGGCCTGTGGATCAATGATAATTTTTACCAGTGCACTTGTTTACATTTGTTAGGAAGATCTTGCCTACTGACCACTAAAACCCAAGTTTTTTTTTTTTTCCAGACGGTGTTGGCACACTACTTTAATCTTATCACTCAGGAGGCAGAGCAGGAGGATCTCTGAGTTCAAAGCCAGCTTGCTCTATAGAGCCAGTTCTAGGACAACCAGGGCTACAATAGAAACTGTCTTGAAAAGCCAAAAACAAACAACTGAAAACCAAAAACCAAACCAAAACAAAAAAACCAAGTTTTCACTCCCACTGAACTCTAAGTGCTGCCTGATCGCCCTCTGCGGTGGCTGCCGCTCTCAGGCTGGTTTCCTTTATTCTGTCTTATCGCTGTCAGTGCCTACAGCTTTTGCAGCATTTCAGGGGATATTAAGAGGCCTTGTTCCAGTCCTTCCTTGAGAGGGAGCTAGATGAGCTGGGTATGGTGACATGTACCTTTAATACCAGCCCTGGGCAGTCAGAGAAGGAGGATCTCTGAGTTTGAGACCAGTGTGGCCTACAGAGCCAGTTCCAGGGCAGCCAATGTTGTTACACAGAAAAAAAAAATGTATTTTGAAAAACCAAACCAAACCAAACGAAACAAAAACTAACAAACAAAAGGTCTAGAGTAAAGTTACCTCTCATCTGTGACATGTCTCCCACTGTAGGGACAGAGGAAGGGCCTCATGTAGAACAAGCTCACTTCCAGCCTGGGCCTGTTGCCTGGTCACACGTGAGCCTGCTAGTTGAGTGGGGCTGTACATCCCTGTAATTCCAGCATTTAAAAAGTGATTGCCTTGCTGTGCGGTGGTAGCGCACGCCTTTACTCTTTACTCCCAGCACTCAGGAGGCAGAGGCAGGCGGATCTCTGTGAGTTCGAGGCCAGCCTGGTCTCCAGAGCGAGTGCCAGGATAGGCTCCAAAGCTACACAGAGAAACCCTATCTCAAAAAAAAAAAAAAAAAAAGAAAGAAAGAAACTAACAAACAAACAAACAAACAAACAAAAAGAAGTGGATGCCAGAAGATCAGGAGTTCTAGATTATTCTTGGCTACATAGTGACTTCTAGGCTAGCCTGAACTATGTAAGACATGTTTCAAAAACCAAAACCACACATGGGCCTGCTGTTTCGAGGGAGAGAGGTAGACTGTGATGTGCCCACCATTTCCCAAAATATTCCATCATCCTTAAACCACCATCTTCTCAAGCCAGCCTAGAGCTGAGTCAGATTAAGTAGCTGTCTCTTAAAGGGACCTGCCACATAAGTTTCTGAAATCCTTCCACTAAAACTCAGTTCCCTGACCCACCCCCAGATGTATGTGCCACCCGCCAACTGCACAGCAAGCTGCAGCCACCAAACTGCAAGTGCACTTTTCAGATTGTTTCCTGTAAGTTACAAGCTGATTTTAATGCTTGGGGGAAGAGCGAACAAGAGGGGACCTGGGTGTCTGGAAGAGGGGTGGAAAGTGTGGGGGCACGCACACTTCCAGTCACTTAACATTACTGTCAGCCTTAGTTCCTTTGGCAGCAAACGAGGGCGAAAGTAACATTGTCTGTTGGGTAGGTCATACTTTTGTGGGGGGGCTGTGCACTGTGGAGGAGCAGAACATTACAAGGGCTGGTTATTGTTGTCTGAGACAAAGCAAATTGATGGGCACGGCAGGCTGGCTAAAGCACTTTGGCCCACGGGCTTTGCTCCTACCCAATACCTTCTCATCTATGTACTGTGTGTGGTGTGTCTCTCTTTAGTGGCCCTAAGACCAGAGAGGGGGGAAACCAACATAGGTCACCCAGAAAAGCAAGTGGTAGGGAGATTAGGCCAAGCCACAGTGGGAACTCAGGCCCTGGCCCAGCAGGCAACCACAGGCCTTCCTACCTCTTCCCTTCTCCAAGAGCCACATCCGTGTGCGTGTGTACATTGACCGCATGGATGACCCCAGTCACACCGCCCTGTCCCATACCTGACCCACTGTTGGTCCTAGCCCAGCCTTAGTACAGTGTGACTAAGACCTTGCCTGTCTTAAGAGATTGGTCAGCCAAGAACTGGGAGATTTGGGGGCTGTGGGAGCCCTAGACGCCAGCTACTAGCCCAGTCCCTCCTCTGTCTTCCCTATCATCAGTCTGAGGCAGTGGTCCACAATGAGACCAGCACATAGAATCAGAGCTCTCTGTGTTAGACTCGCCAAATGAGCTAGAAAGACTAAGAGGTTGGGGACTGGGGGGTAAACAGTCAGTTACAGCAATGGAGAGACAACAGAAATAGAGGGAAACTCCTGCTGTGTCCTGGTCCTGTTCCCCACCCTCCACATGATCAGGCTTCTTGTCTTTCTCTAGTTCACTTTTCTCTCCTCCAGTCTTTTGAGTACCATCCACCCGAAACGCTTAAATATCAAAGAAAGCACCGTGTGTGTGTGTGTGTGTGTGTGTGTGTGTGTGTGTGTGTGTGTGTGTGTGTGTGTGGAG